TGCATTTAAAACATTCATATTCAGTGTGATTATTGAGAGGCACGGACTTATTGTTATCCTTTTGTTGAGTTCTTTCTGGTGTTTTTGCTAGTTACTTTGGTCCATCTTGCTTTCTGTGGCACCTCTGTAAGAAAGATGTCTCTCAGTGTTTCCTGCAATGCTGGTCTTATTTTTACAAACTCCCTTAGCTTCTGTTTTTCTGGGAATATCCTGATCTCTTCTTCTCTATTTTATGGACAATTATGGGTTGATAGTTGTGTTTCTTGAGTCTTCAATAAATGTCATTCCACTGTGTTTTCTCTCACATGGTTTCTGCTGAAAAATTTGTACTTAATCTTATCTGCTCTCCCTTATAGGTTAGTCTTTGTTTCTTCCTCACTGTTTTCAGAATTCTCTCCTTATTTTTGGTTCTGGAAAATTTTACTATGATATTCCATGGTGGTTTTTCTTTTGAAGTCTATTCTATATGGTATTTGCTCAGCTTCGTGAAAATATATTCTCTCATTCTTCCTTATTCCTGGGAAGTTTTCTTCTAGTAATTTTTCCACAAATTTTTCAGTACGTTTACTTGCTTCTTCCTGTTCTGGGATTCTGATGAGTCACATGTTATTTCTCTTAATAGTGTCCCACATTATTGTTAGGTTTTCTTCTTTTTCCTTCTTTTTTGATTCTGTGTTTTGCTCTAGCAGATCAGTGGTGACAATTCTATCTTCTATTTCACTGGTTCTGTGTTCCATCTCTTCAACTCTTGTTCATGTGTCCCTCCATCGTGTTGACAGCATCTGAAACATTAGACCTCATATTTTGGATTGTGATTTCTTGTTTTTCCAGAGCTTCTAATGCCTTATTTGTTTTATCTGCATTGGATTGGATTGGTTGTTGTTGTTTTTTTCAAGCTGCTCCTGGTTTTTACTTGCAGTGTCCTGTAATTCTAGTGCTCCCCATCAAGGCTCAGTGCTCCACATAAGGGCTTGCTGTGCCCCAGAAATGATTGTTGTGTATGGTGTGTGATGTTAATCCTGTTTAAGCTTTCTGCAGGTTCAGTTTCACCAGCAACATTTGTTAAGAAGGTTGTCATTCTCCCATTTGATAGGTTTCATTTCCTTGTCAAATACCAGTTAACCATAGATGTTGTTGTTATGTGCTGTCGAGTCACTTGCGACCCTATATACTACACCCCTAAACTCTGCTCTGTCCTGTGCCAATCGCACTGTCTCTGACACGCCCATCCTGATTACCCCAGTTACTGAATCAATCCACCTCATAGAAGGCCTTCCTCTTCTGTGCTGTCCCTCCACCCTCCCATGCATGATGTCCCTCTCCAAGGAGCGGTCCCTCCTTGCAACATGTCCAAAGTATGTTAGATGAAGCCTCAGAATCCTTGCCTCCAAGGAGCAGCCCGGTTTAACCCTCTCCAGGGTGAATCTGTTTGTTTTCCTAGCAGTCCATGGTACCCTCAATACTCTTCTCTAGCACCATGGCTGAAAGGCATCAATTCTCCTTATATCCTCCTTAGTCATTTTCCAACCCTCTGATGCATAACAAGTGATTACAAAGACCATGGCCTGTATCAGACACACCTTAGTCTCCAGAGAGACACCATTGCTCTTCAGAAATTTGGAAAGGTCCCTAACAGCAATGCACTTAACATCAATGGCTGCTGGTGCCAAGAGTGTTGACTATGGAGCAAAGCAAACTAAAGCTGTGTACAATCTCAATCTCTTCACCATCCATCCTGATGCTGCCAATTGGTCCAGTGGTGAGAATCTTTGTCTTCTTGACATTGAACCTCAATCTATATTGTAGGCTGCAGTCCTTGACCCTCCACAGCAAGTGCTTCAGGTCCTCCTCAGTTTCGGCAAGCAGGGTTGTGTCATCTGCATAACACATAGATACATGACACCATGGATAGGTGAGTTAATTTCTGGGTTCTCAGCTCTGTTCCATTGGTCTATGTATATGTCATTGCAACACTACCATGCTGTTTTGGTTATTACTGCTTTGTAGTAGGTTTTGCTATTCCTCACACTTCATTTTTATTTTTCAGAAGTACGATGCTTATTTGGGGTTTCTTTTCTTTCCAAATAAACTTGCCTATTGCCTTTTTTACCCCTTTGAAAAAGGAATTTGGTATCTGGATTGGGATTGCATTAAACAAGTAGATTGCTTTGGAGGATTATCATTCTAGTCATACTGAATCGTCCTATCCATGAATAAGGAACATTTTCCCGCTTAGATCAGTCTCTTATTGTCTTGCAGTAGTGTTTTGTAGTTTTCTTAATAAAAGCCTTTTGTTTCTCTAGTGAGGCACAAACACAATTTAATGCATTGAGTGGAGACCACAGTACCCATGGTTTCTAGGACCAAGGTCCCTTAAACTAAAAATGTCTCCGTCATTATAAGATATTATCTTCCTGCAGTCTCCCATGAAAAACATATTAAGGAGTTGTTCTCAGCAAAACAGACTGTTTTGCCCAGGTACAGTTTTCCATAAGCAGGATGTTTCATCAAGGTGATATGAGAACATTACTGAAATCAACAAGTCACTTCCAGTTACTCTGTTCCACATCAGTTTGCTGATATGTCACATAAGACTTGACTCACAAATACTTGCTGCCTTCTCATGTTCTAGTCTAGAGTCAACTGATTTGCTCAGAGCTTCCAGCAAGGTGGCCATCAACATACAATGTATTATGTTCATGTACATTGTAGGTTTCCTCCCTTACCATCATCTTACCAATAACTATATTCGTGAAAGCATGTTAGCTAGTTACTTCATGCCTCATGCCTTAATATCCCGATATTAGGTAACCAATTTCTGATTTCACATACTTATCAAAGCAGTGAAGCTCTGGTGGCTTAGTGGTAAGAAGTTGCACTGCAATCCTGAAGGCACACTGTTCAGCTTCACCAGCTGTTCCACAGGAGAAAGATGAGAGATCTCCCATGTGATTAACTGCCTCTGAAGACCCTCTGGAGGATCAGCTGTGGGTTGTTTCCAACCTGATGGTGCGTAACAACAACAACAACAACGTCAAATGAGTACTCTGAGGGAACAAGCATGGACATTTTACTGAAGGATCTTTTGTTTAATTTGAACACTTTAAGCATCTGCATCCACAAGCAAAACTCCCTCCCAGAGCAAGCCATCATGTTACAGCAGTCAATACTAGCTCACTGCAGGGATCATTTTCTCTTCATCATGTTGGGTTCTGAGCAATTCATCCCCAGGCATCTGTGGCTATGGTCAAAGGGGCATTAACCTCAAATTCAGGAGTCCACACTTCTCCCTGTGTTCCAGACCCACTGGTTCTCTTTATTCAGCCATAGCTCCCATATGGAGCCAAGTCAATAGGCCAAGGGTCCACATGACTCCCTGCTCCTCAATCTAGTGATCCTCTTTTGCCTATCCGTACATCTGTGCATACCGGTTTGAGTAAGTACATAAATTTATTTTTTTAAAAAAAGGTCTGGTAAGCTCACATACACTGTATTTAGAATCTTCAATTATGCTCTGTAATCTCCACCAACACAAGTGAACATACATTCTCTAGGTTTAAGAGGGGTTTACAAAGCTCTAAATCTTTACTGGAGGAATCATCCTATCTTTTCCCCAAGGAGCAACTGATGAATTAAAACCACTGACCTTTCAGTTTGCAGCTTGATGTACTCTGCCAACCAGTGCTCTTTGGTTCAAGGCTAGAAAAAAAAAAAAGATTCACAAATGTCCTTCATGTTCTAATGCAACATTCACAAGCAGGGGGGAAAAGAAGAATGTGATATCTCAGAGTACACTTGTGTGTCTCTTTAACAAGTATACTACAAACTGCTGAGACCCCTCAAGGCCACAGGCAGATCGTTGGAGAATGAGTTTAACTAACATTTTAGGGAAATAGTCCACTAGCTGCCTCCACAGACCTAGCTACTGGGAGGGCAATCCCACCACTACAGTCACCTCGCATCAGCATACAACTTACTTGTCTTCTCATTAAATCTCAGCCATTGGGAGAGCACTCCCACCATTGCAGCCACTTTTCATCAATATACAACTTACATGCCTTCTCGTCAAATCTCAGCTATTGGGAGAGCACTCCCACCACCTCTCATCGGCATACAACTTACATGGCTTCCTGCTAAATGTTATAAGGATTTGGACATAAATGGCATTTACTGGTAGATGTGTCCTCTTTACTGGAATGACAGATGTGATAAAGTGACAGAGGGCACTCTCTCAGCAAACTCCACTCAACATAGCAGCTCTTCAATCCTTAGAACATTTCCCATCCTTCCATTCAGAGAGGGTACTATTTAATCTGATGTCAATCAATGTTTAATATGTTTTACCTGATGTTTCATCAATGTTAGGTGACAACCTAGGACTAATGGCCTTGCTTGTCCTGGTTTGCCTACACACATAGTAGACCTTGCATTTAATGTAATTGACATCAAGCTGTATATCTGCAGGAACTGGCTCTGTCTTCTATGCCTGCAGAACTGAGACAGTTAAGGTCAATGATCTATTTTTCTGGAAGAAAATTTCAGTCTGCATTTTGTCTAACACATATCTTCCTAAAAATGACACCAGACCCTAGAATATGTATAAAAATAGATGTGAACATGCAGTATTCCCTGAGATGATGCCCCATGGTTTGCACAAATGCTCCAGTCACTTCTTATCCAGTAACCCATAATAATAAATGAGTCTTTTGGAAAGACACAGCACTTGGATGCCTGTGATTAAAAGGATGAGCAGACCCTGTACCAATAAAAATGCTACTCTTTGTCTCCTCTCAGGAGTTAACATTGTCTCAGTAAGGCAGTCCTTGACATACTTCTCCGTCTCTCTCTACCTGTCTAAACCATCAGTCTTCCTTTCTTTTGGAACACTCTCTCTTCTAGTATCCCTCCTCTGTACATATGGCACACTGTTACCTTTGGAGTCAAGACCCCTTCCTGAAATTCCTGCTGAGCCAGAACAGTTCCAGCCTGGTTCCGGCACTATGGCCCCTGCAAAGAAGGGTGGTGAGAAGAAGAAAGGCCGTTCTGCCATCAACGAAGTGGTGACCAGAGAGTACACGATCAACATTCACAAGCGCATCCATGGAGTGGGATTTAAGAAGCGTGCTCCTCGGGCACTAAAGGAGATCTGGAAATTTGCCATGAAGGAGATGGGAACACCAGATGTTCGCATTGACACCAGGCTTAACAATGCTGTCTGGGCCAAAGGAATAAGGAATGTCCCATACCACACCTGTGTACGGTTGTCCAGAAAACATAATGAGGATGAAGATTCCCCAAACAAGCTGTGTACACTGGTTACCTAGGTACTTGTCACCACTTTCAAAAATCTACAGACCGTCAATGTGGATGAAAACTAATAGCTGATTGTCAAATAAAGTTATAAAACTGTGAAAAAGAGATCCAAGATGGTGGCAGAGGCAGAGACAGCGTGGTGAGCTGCGGGAGCAGTGAACCACTTAAAGCAGGGCCATTATGGCCTTCCACAGACTTGGCTTATTGATAATTGAACACTTAAACAGTTGATGACTGGCCCTCAGTGAAGATCGAGGCTCAACAACAGGAATTCAAGGATTCCCAAGGAGAAATGGGTGAGTCTCGTGGCTCCCAACCCACCCCCCTGCAGAGCCCTCGCTGTGCCGCACAGCCACTGCAGCTCCATGAGACTTCCACAGCCAGAACGAATGGATTCCCTCACCCAGGATGGATGCTGGGCACCGGCCCTCCTCAAGACTGGTACAGTGAAGCCACCACACTGCCGCAAGGTGGACTTGGTCTGGAGAGAATTCTTGGAGCCAGGATGG